ATCTCCTACAAAATTTCTCTGCTCGAACTGACATTTACCACCTACAATTGGTATGGGTTTGGGGTTTTACCGATCTGAAGCGACTTTTTTTTACAAAGAAATGTAGATAATCAACACCGCTCCATTTACAATTTCATTCCCCATTAGCTGTGCCCCACAAGTTCCTTTCAGCGAAGGTGCTTCTTGGAGTATATATCACCTGTGTCACCTGTCGCCCCGTTTATCATCGATTTCCTTGAGCAGGCGCCAGTAACGTTTCCGTTCGTCCCTACTGCAAACTGGAGTGGTCCAGAGAATCATTCTCTCTTCAGGGACACAAGGCATTGCGGTCCTTTCGTTCAGAGCTTTCGTGAAAACTTCTGATCATCTCTCTGGCGACGGTGCTGGGTTGCTTTGACGCCCCGTAGAATCCCGACCGGTAACCGTCCTTGTCCTACGGTGATTACATCCCATGACGTGCCCGGCCCATGTCATCTTTTTACACGGTACGGTCATGGGCTATCTATATCTAAGGTATCTATATGCGATGACATTTTATTCATACGTACACGGTGATATTCTAGCCGTCATTTAATGGCAGCATTCTTGAGGAAAAAAGGGCTGTTATCGCCCACCTATGTATATGAAATGTTTGCACCTGCTAAAGTTGCATGCTTGNAGGTATCTATATGCGATGACATTTTATTCATACGTTCACGGTGATATTATAGCCGTCATTTAATGGCAGCATTCTTGAGGAAAAAAGGGCTGTTATCGCCCACCTATTATATGAAGTGTTTGCACCTGCTAAAGTTGCATGCTTGGAAATGAAAAATTACTTTTCAATTTTCAGTAGCGGCTTATTCGTACTTTATTTGAAAGCAATTTTTGAAGCTTTCCTGTACTTTTAGATTAAAAATGGAAAGGTAGAATATTCAGTTTGCTATATCGGAAATGATAGCCTAGATCTTGTCTCAATTCTGCCTCCCAGACTAGACTATCTTTTGAAAATCTTTCAGGAGTTGGGCAGGAAAAGAGTAAATCAATCAGCTCCATTAATTAGTTGTCATGTCCTGTTGTCATGCTGCTGCTTCAGGGACAGTGCCGGACTTCGGACAAAGCCGAGGGATATCAAATTTTTATTCATCACCTTCCCCCACCCCGTGCATTACCTAAATTTTCTAAGACATCCCACATTTTCAAGACAATTTTAGGTTTTTGAAGCCAGTAAAATTCAGATTTCATTTTTATGTGAAGTCAATGGACTATTGTTTTCCCAACACTGGCATCGGGTGGTTGCGGCTCCTGATTCGTATAAAGCAGTGTGCTTTCATTCCCAAAAGGGCATCAGGATAGCCAGATGGCCCATTCCCGCTCGGAAAATAATTCTCATTTCAGAAAATTAGCCACCGAACTCTCTATTTTCCGAAGTCAACCAGAAGGGGAAGGAACATGAGCCCGAGGCAATGTGGTTCAGATATGTATGCTCGAGTAATCGTTAAATTCAACTAATAACTTAGGAAAGTAGACAGAGAATGAGACGGGACGATGACTACATTACTTACCTCGTTTTTTCGACCATATGAACCCCTCGTTGTTGTTTGCTTTTCAAAGCGCACCAACTCTGAGCATAACCGAGGAAGAACACCTGTTCAGCGTCCAAATTCAAGCCGGCTAACTTTCGAAATGAGTCTTCACCATGAGCTTGCCAGGCCTGAAAATTTTCGATTTCAAGCGTGAAAGAGTCGCAAACCTACCAAGCGGGATACCTTGAACGCTACTTGCAATCCGACATTGTCAGCGATGTTTTCGTACAGTGAGTTACGAGCCTCCGTGTCCTGAAAGTACAGCCACAGTACTCTTACCAACTGCTTGCGTACGAACTGTAACTGATCAGGTTGATCAGTCAATTTCACTCACAGTTCGAACGATAATCGATATATACTCAGTTCAGACCAACTTATCCTCGTCAACGTCATCTTCCGACCCCTAGCCCTGGCCTTAGCCCTTTCGGGTGAACTACTGGACTCATAAATGAAATTTGCAAATCCTCCAGTGAGAGGTTTCGAACATACGTGAGGCACTTGTAGGCTTCATGATGCGCGATGGATAGTTTTTATAGGAATCCTTGTAGTAAGGATTCAATTCAATTTTCAACTCGAACTACTCAAACTCTTCAACAAATTACTTTTTTCGTCCAGGACATTCCTACTGCATGGTCAGCAAGTCCAAAGAAAGAGTTCCCACATGCCNCGACTGCCGAAAGACTCTGTCCTTTCGCGGGATGGCGAGTTCTGGGCAGCTGACAAGAACATGTCAAAACTCCATCTTTTATTCTTCTATTTTTTATTTTCAATGCTCGAGAGAAGGGTCCCAGTATGATGCGTTGAATATGATTTTTTTCTTCATTTGCACATCTCAATTGCCCATATCTCTCGTACAATAATTACAGCCAATTAGGTGAGATTGTAGGAAAGCTGACGCAAAAGAAGTCTTGAGGTTACGACGGAACATGTCGTCACTGCGCTCCACATCCTCCTACTCATTTCAATTAAAGCTGTGCGAGTCACTGAGGAGCTTTGATTGTGGGCGATGGCAGATAGCGAGCGAAAGATCACTTCTTTGAAATAGCAACAGCGAGGAACTCACGTCATCGGAACCCGTCAGACGGACGTATTGGTCGATGTAGCATTGTTCACGTTCGCTGAAACGCCTTCGTGACTCAGATGACCACCAATTACGACCGAGATTTCCGGTTGGGCCATGCAGCTTGCCTGAAAGCAATAACACGCACAGGATGCTTTGGAGCTGATAATATTCACTCTGATTGATCAGGTGCATGAACAAATTGTGAGATAATTAAGGGTAACCTGTCTTACAAAAGTATGATAGGGAGAGGGGGAGGGGGTGGGGAAGAGGGGGAGGAGGTGGGATGGAGAATTAGGGTTCAAAGGTTCTGAGAAGCGGAAGTCCTCTCAATGAAAGAGGTATCATGTGAATAGATCGGTATTGAACTTAAGAAAACCTAGGTTTCTTGCCTTTTCTTCATGAGAACTATCGTCTTTTGTTGGTTCTCGAGAAAGGTGATACTAGATAGATACTATTTGATGATACCTAGTGATATTTGATGATACCTAGTGATAATGATTAATATTTGGAATAAAATGAGGAAAACTTACCTTGATCATCAAATGCATGTGTGATCTCATGTCCGATGATGGATCCGACCGATGCGTAGCTAAGCACACTGAAATACTTCTAATTACGTAATATATACAGTATCGAAAGATTCCAGACAGGAGTAAATAAGGTAAACAGTACTCTACGGTGTCCACATCGGCTATTGGTGAACGTGCTACGTCGAACGGTATCTGGACTAAATTCCGTTCATAATTATGAATTGGTGTGGATGATAGAGCCGGTTTTGAATCTACCCAATCTCTGAAAGATACACGATACTGTTCGACAATTGATTAGGAATTTTAGTAAGTTCTGAAGATAAAAATTAGAAAAATTCGTAACGATGTGAGCACTGTAGGTGAATTTTGAGTAATTCTAGGAAATTGAGTCACTCTGCCTCCCCTAACTTTGGCCCCTTAGTCCAAACATAAGAATCCCTAATCTAAATATACAACTGTGCATTATAGTATCCTGCACGTTGATAAAATCAGACTTCTGAACGGAAGCCAACCTTGGATTCACAGGCTTCCGTAATCTTTTAATCTTTTCTCTGTAAACTGCACTAGCACCGAAGACCATTGACCAAAACAACTCGGTGGATATCTGAATCACTATACAATTGCTTATAGAAATAATAATGCCTACTAATTTGAAAAAAAACGAGAGGCAACTCCGCAGTTTTTTAGCTCCATGAGGGAACACGAGTGATTAGTTCTGGATGCCCTGGAGCTTGAAGAATTCCCTTATAAACCCTTTTATTTAGGAATTCCGGAAAGCCCGTGAGGTGGAGGGAATCTTTAGCCAGGCCTATGTAGTAGAAGTTCCGATATTTCCACAGCAGGTGCCGGTTCTTACATAGTTGTCTCGTCGTGCAGCATGCTGATCGGGACAAAGAACCGTTGGCGATCTACACCCAAATGGATATGAATGAAAGGGAGAAGACTTCAGTCCAGTCTCAGGCAATCCCTTTTCTAAGTTGCGCCCTCGAATTCAACTTCCATACATAGTCGTAGCTGCTGTTTGAATGCATGATGGCGGCTTACACAATGAATTTTGAAGGTGAGCCGATGGGAAGATAGTGCATTCATCCTCACAAACGAGCCTGGCACCAAGTGACTGACCCTGAGGAGATGAAAGACCTAATTGCTCTATGCAAAAAGTGATTAGGATTTCGAATGTTGGACCACGAGTTCGTGATAGTGCACCCTAGGCCACACCACCGCATCCGCTCTCCAAATCGTCCTTTTCATAGGTAGGTGGGAACTTTAATCTGATGGAGTAGTGAACGACATGCTTCGGGGGACTTACCCGCTCACTTTCGTCCTCCATCGCCATTTCGTTGTCCATCTTATCTGGATAGCTGACAAGGACAGATGTGTTAGACAGCTGAAAAGAATTACTACTCAGAACTTGCAGACAGTAAACTTTAGGGGGTCTGGGAAGCGGTACTCCTAAGATAAAGTTAGATTAAAAGGATTGTGGGTGAGACGTTACCTTTTGCAGTGCTACTGGAGCGGTCACATTATCCAAAATGGGACTGGCTTGGAGCAGATTACGATACTCCTCTATAATATTGCTTGAGATCTTCTTTACAAGAGCTTTATTCTGAAAATACAGGATAACTGTAGTGCTCATAAGAGGGATAAAATAAGAAAGGAAAAAAGTAACAAGGAAGTATACGTACGTCTCTCGATCTTTGCTCGCCATCGATCTTCCGAAGGACTGACGGCAACGACAATGGGAAAATTCCCGAGGCTCGCATGATGCAGAACTCCTTACGAAGATGTGGAGGACCAGAGTAAATCTCGATAACGCTCTGAAAACTCATCAGTGATTCGCTCCATCCTCCAAGTTGAGATCATTCTTTGAAGTTCTTTTGAAGATTTGCTACTAATTCTTTGAAGTGATAAGGAACCATCGAAAAATATTTATTTTCCATAGATTACTGAATTGACTAAAGCGCGCATGACCCATATTAAGAGTGGAATTGAAGAAGAGAATGAATCTCATTGTCTTCCTGTAATACTGTAAGAAGATGCAAAAAATGTCGGCATTTTATAATCGCGGCAATCCTCTCAACATGCCTCACTGATGAGCTACGGAGCTTCTAGTTGCAATGCCCTAACACATCCAAAGAGTAGCGAGCTGGATGTCTTCAATTTCACCACCAACCTAATGAGTGACCTTGGGCAGGCAGAAGCCTGAATGTCTGAGCCATGACTGAGCAATGCTGAGAAGTCGGAACAACCGCCGGAAATAGATGTTCAACGTAAAAAACCCGTGGCGGAAGATTTGACTGGGCAGAGCCTCATAGAAATGGTGCCATCCAAAACGACTGGTTTACTTCAATCCCCGAATTTTGGGAAGCTTTTCTAAATTTCATAAATTTTGGCTACAATGAAAGACCCGTTCAAATACTGCTACATACTATACTGTCTTGAACATGGAACCCCTTTTCGCTCTACTTTTTCGAAGCCTTTTTCCCCTGAATCTGCCGTTTATAACTCTTTTGAGGTAGAAATCATGATCATTGAGAACTGCACTTTAAGTTAAGCAGAAAAAGTTACAGTTGGTAAGAAAATTGACAAGTTATCAAATGTACAACCAATCAACTTAACCAATAACTAAATGGAAGATTCGATGAATGAATATGTCAATAAAAAATATTTCCAACAAGAAGAGCTCAGACAGCAAGAGAACTTACCCAGAGGTAACCTTCTTGGCAGTTTGGTTTCACATAGGCTAAATGGAAGAATAACGTCTTCCATTTGATGTAGTTCCTCACAACAGCTTGTCCTTCACTGGTCTCCAGATATTCCAAAAGAATCTGCGATAGTTTGATCAGCCATTCTCGACCGGTTTTTAAAGCAATTCTTTCATTTGCAAAGAGTTGTTCTCCGGTCAGTGACGAAAGGAATAATCGCCAATTCAGCTGAAACATGCCATTACAGAAACGATATTTGACTGTCAAATAAAAGAGAAAAAAAGCCTTACGGCTGGAACTATGGTCTGTAATTCAGCCAAGGAGATTACTTCATAGCGCTCCTTTTTGTGTTTGTAAAACTGAAAATAAATATTGTAAATACATGGCAGTGACTGTGGTTTGAAAACTACTTACTGTAGACCACCCACTTCCTTACGGTCGAGTAAACTTGGACCCTACTCAATTGGTAACTCGAGCACTGGGGTTTTGGCACTATCTCCACCGCTCTGTCTTTGAAAACAGGAATTGTAACAGCGTCTGGTGGGAGTAGGACTACTTCGATACCCCGGTCTCCTCTCCCCATGGGTAACACTATGTTCCTTCCTTTCCTTTCCCGTCCTACAAGCTTTTTCATTCTACTTGTCAATACACTACCCTTGAGGACGTAGGAACGACGTCTAATTAGCCCTCTCTGGTATTGCTAGTGACTGTAGAAGTTTAACTGGGAACCAGAATTGCTCGGAAAATTCCTTCAGCTACGACATTGGGTGCTTTAAAGGGTAGTTGAGATGGGAGGGCTCCAGTTCTGGGAATGAAAAAGAATCAGAAGGAGCTCAACAAGGGTTATAAACTCACTCTACTGCCACTAACGGTGATCCTCCATTCTAATTCAATCATTCTGGCGATCATCATTCGTACAGCTGGATCGCTTCGATCAAAATCAAGTAGCGTAGCCATTTCTTCGCCAGTCTCTTGTAGTAAGGATGTCGCCTGTGACAGAAGGACCTCGGGAAGTATTCCAGCTGGAATAGAACCCCCCGCTTACCTGAGGACCTTCCTTGTTGAGTATCATTTCTGCTGTAACCGGTATATCAAATTGATAGACGCTTGGATTGAGCAACAACGGAAGCTGTTCATAAATCTAAAGAAAAGGGATTACGGTAATCATTATTGTAAATGTAATCAAATTAGATCTTACAGTGATAAGATGGGTTTTCGAATCGAAATAGTTCACTTCGACTCCTGCCCAGAATAGAGGAAAAACTGAATAGTTGAAGGCTTGTAGTACTGACAACTCGATCGGTATACTGTCAACATCTTGCACCAGCTCTCTCATCCAACCACCTATTTCCTAAACAGAGAATATCAATCATGGCTGGGGTTCTTCCTACTGCTGCGAATGGTTCCAAAATAAAGCTGGATAAAGTAGGAAAAGCTCCCCATTACTCATTTTAAAGTATTGTGATATATTCATGGCTATTGGACGAGTTATTCTCCAGGAGGTGATACACTCTTTTAGGTGTGACCTATTGAGCCTATTCAAAGAGGCGCTCTTTTTGGAAAATAAAGGGTGCAGGAGGTATACTACTGCGAGAGCTACTGTACAACTGTCATCGAGGTTTTCTTGACACAAACGCTTGGCGCTGAGTATAACCTCTCGAGCACCAAAGTCAGTAAATGATGGAAATAGGATTTGATCAACGTCTGTTCCCGAATACCTTAGATGTAGTACATAGCTCCTCCACCTTACTCTAGCCTACCCGCTGGACCACTTTCCCGATTTTTCGAATCAGTATCGATCATTCTGAAATATTAGAAGGCTTTCTGTATCCGGATGAGGTATGTACCAAGGAATTACCATAAAAATGGGTATGATGGAATTTTAGTGCGACATTAGTCATTCGGGAGCGAAATGTGAAACGAAATGTCTTTAATCTTGAAAAGCGCATTTGAAGAAGTTCTAATATGATGTCATTTATCATTTTTATCATTACAGTAACCATGTGGGATTCCTGGCCTGATTCATTCCCTCACATTTAGCATGCCACCTACTTTTGATAATTTCTTTAGAAAAACTGCACGATAATGACAGCCCAACCTTACAAACGGGAATGTCTTGAAGTATTTCTGATGCAGATCTAAGGACAGAGCTCATCCGCTCCAGACAGTTTTTAACATAACATTCGAAATAGGGTAGCAATCGGGTGTAGGGATAGGGAAACGGCAAACCGACGAGTGCTCGACCCTTCCTGAGTTAAATGTTCTGATATAAGAGACAAAATTTAGGGAAAAATTCAGTTAGGTAATACGAGTAAGAGAAAATGAAGGGAAATGCATGGAATGCGGGGTGAGCTCAGTTTTTAAGGTAGGTATGATCTAGGTATAGCTCGCCCAATTCGGATCACATACAATAAGTTCTGAGACCGTCCTACCTCAACAAACCGAAGCCAAGTGTTTAAACCAATCGTCTTCAATTTATCCATGTCAGTACATTGACGGAAGAGCTCGACTGCAGCCCGCTCTCCTCGATTAAATGGAACACTGGAGTCGCCGTCGATTACTATAAACAAACTATCTTCTGCAGAAATTTAATGGGATTTGGAAATTTCACAATTATTTCATAGAAAAATATCATGCGATATTCTTTGCTCTTGTTTTCGTCAATACCATCCCATGTCTTTTTGAAAGCCCAATCCAATGTAGATTTTGATCAAAATTTCGCTTTTTTAATTTCTTGTTTCAGGATAACTTCACCAAAGTTACGAAAAAAAAATTCCAAAAAATGGATAAAATTTGAAGAGAGATAGATAACTTATGATGATTTCGGGGTGTCTTTTCAGACGGATAATGGAAGTGACAGTCCAAAATAGTACAGAGCGAGAAAACGCGAAAATTGAAGTCCTCAGAGAATTTGGAGGGTTAAAAATGCAGAAAAAATAGAAAATTAGAGGTCGGACGATAATCTGACCACAAAAGTAGCATGGAAGAGGTATTTGGACGAGCTGTCCAAAAGTGTGTGCCACTGGGTACAGCTGGCTACAGTAAGCCACTTGCGTAGAGCGTTTGCACTAAGCCAGCCTATCGTGGTCTATTTAGACCGTTTTCGAACTGACAACATTCCTTGTGCTATCCTGGGGTTGAAAGAAATCCGGAGGAAATTTTTGCTATGCAGTTCATTCAGATGGAAAGTTGTATTTGATTTTTTGTAGGGATGGGAATGAGAGTACTCATGAAGAACATCAGTGCTGAGCAGAGATTGCTCTATTATGCCTATTTTCTGCGTAATTTGAAAAGAGTTACATTAAAAGGTTATTTTCAATCACATTAAAGGAAAAGAGAAGATCAGTGGGCAGGTGAAGACAATTGAACTTGGGTAATGAGAGTTATTTTCACTCCTGCTTAAGTTTTTGATTGAAAATCGTCCTAAATGAGGAGGCTCAGAATTGAATAGCACTTAGAACGGAAATTTCAGAATACTCGTAGTCATCACAGTCATTGTTTGCCTCTATAAGTTGAAACTAAAGAAATTCATCCATCTAGGACCTCATTTTTCAAGGCTTCGGATGAGTAGAGTTCAGATTAGAAGCCGGAAAATAGCGGTCCATGTCTTAACAGAATATCCTGGAGGCGCGTTCACGATGGAAAAAAGACTCCTGAGTTGAACCCTAGGATGAACTTGTGGTCCGCAAGGATATCATAAGCGGCGATGTCAGATCGGAAAATGCCAAAGATGGCGAATGGGTAATAACTATTCAAATATGGTACTGCCTACATGCCAAATCCAAAGGTGGCCGTGTTTTCAATACTCTGAGGAGGCTGCACAATTCACAATGGAGCACTTCTGTTAACATTCAAACGACTGGTCAAGACACATGGAGATAGTTGAAGGCAACCTTTGACTTACTGTAGTCAGCTCTATGCGATAGTACACAAGTAACAGCTCGTCCAAATACCCTTCCATGCCACTTCTGTCGTCATAATCTCGTACAAACCTTTTTTATTATTTTTTGGAAGACCCTTCCGTTTAAGCTCGGCAATTTTTACGCTTCCTTCGCGCCATCTTTGCACTATTCTGCACCCTAACCTACGTTACTGTTCTTGCACTAGGTGCAGTCTTGGGGAGTGGTGCATTAGGAACGAAATGGTCGCGTCGCGGTGAGAGGGGCGTCGCGCGCGAAAGAATGTAGCAGGATGCAGCAGTAGGTAAGAAATACAAGAACAAAAGTACTAATAGTAGAANTGGATTGAGCAACAACGGAAGCTGTTCATAAATCTAAAGAAAAGGGATTACGGTATCCATTATTGTAGATGAAATCGAATTAGATCTCACAGTGATAAGATGGGTTTTCGAATCGAAATAGTTCAC